CGTATTCGATGCGTCTATTACCAGATAAGCATTACGTTTACTTGGAATGCTTATCGTATGTCTTCTTTCTAGATATTGATTGCTCATTTGCATACGTGGTTATATATGCAAATAGCAGGTGTGATATAAGATTTACTTAATTTAACTACTATTAATATTAATTGATATAAGGTTAAATTAACTATATAAATATAAGTAAAATTAAATTAAATTAATATAAAGAAGAAAATAATAAAAATAAAAATGAAGATGTAAAAAATAAAATGAAAATGTGTAAAATATTATACTTTATATTCTAATAATTAAACATATAAATAAAAACAAAAAGAGAGAAAAAAGAATAATAATTATACTAAGAATAATAATAATAATAATAATAATAAAAAAATAATAATAATTAATAAAATAAATATCTTTAAATTCCAAAATCCAATGTTAGCACGTATGTTGGTTTTGATGTTGTGTTGTGTTGTGATGAATTGCGGGCTTCCAATTACAGCTTTTGTGGAACACGTTTGTAATAATACTAGCTGTCTCTATCAGCACTTTTTTGTTTTGTTTATATATTCACAAAACCGCACTGATATTTTGTTTGAATGCTTGCTCACTTTTTTTATTTTGAGCTTTAGAAAATAATTTGCTGTCTCTGTCAGCTATTTGAGTTTTTTTTTATATTAAAGTTGTGCAAAAATCAACAAAAATCGAAAAAGCGCGCGCTATTTTCAAATTAATATTTTATGCACTTTTCACTTTTAGGAATTGTTTTTTTGTCCGAGAATGTTCTGTTTTTTATTTTTGTATTAATAACAAAAGTAATTCTTTTAAAAGTGATTGTTATTTACTTGTTTTTATACTGAAATTTAAATTTTTCCGAGACCGGCTTAAAAACACGTCCGCTCACTAGAAAGTTCATTTAGAAACTACGTTCAGTGATCCGTAATTAGTTTAAAATTTGTTTTCAGACAACCGTAAAAATACAACGAAATCAAATACTCATTTTTCTATCAGCATAAAATAAAAAAAATTACTATTAAAATATAATCAACACATCACTTAATAAGTTCCCGATCTAATTAGGAAAGACTCGAATTGATCTGGATTTGAATTTTGGAAAAATGGACTTTATTTATGAACACATTTTCCTTTAAGAGTGCTACATTCAGTTCAAGTTCTCTAAATTGTTGATGTCTTTTTTGTAGAACCATTTTTTTTTGTACTTAAAATAGACCCCCGCTTCTCAAAATTTGACACGTTAGTGTCAGCTAACGTGGTACCCACTTTGGAACATCTTAGGTATGATAAAATTTAATAAGACTATTAAAAATTAAAACAATCTATCTTTAAATATGTTTAAGGTGTTATTTATCTAATTTAGCTTCGCTGTATTTTTTTAAATATCTATCTATCATACGGTTGTTTTCTAATACAATTCTCAATTTTCGATTTTCTAGAGGTATGCAAAGCGGAGTGAAAGGAATCTTATGACAAATGATTCAAATACGTGCAAAAGTATATAAAACAAAGAGGAAATTACTTGGAAAAGCAATATAAGTATTTTCAATCAACAATTACTACTTGCGATTTACGGTGCTGTTACCTGGCTCTTCTAAAATGTTTATTTCAATGCATATATTTATGTCGGGTATTGGCTGCTCATTTAAATGACGTGAACACGTGAGCTGATATAGTAATTGAATATAATGATTAATAAGCAGTTTGACATTTGTACTGTGTGACTTTTTTACTTTTTAAAATAATTTACTATTTTATACATCTTGACAAATTTTGAAATGTATCATAGGTAAATAATCATAGAAATAAATAAAATAATCATCCAATCTGGTTTTACCGATGTATATCAGTTTTATTTCTCATCAAAGCACTAATTATTTTATTTACTAATTGAATTATGAAAATTTTGATATATTTATTTATGTGTTCATATTAATTTATTTTTAATTTATTCATAACATATATATGAGTAAATACTCGCACATTATTACCCATCTCAGGTAATAAAGATATTAATTATTTAATTAAATCAAAAGCACCATATTAATGAAAATAGATAACTTTATTACACCCTTTGCACATATGGTATGAAATGGGTATGCTTTGTTTGTAAAAGTATCTATACTACTGCGAAGGATACGCTAAACACCATATGCTCATATATTCTAAATCAGTAGAGAGCACTACATTTTAATGGTAATGAACTCCAACTCATGAAAGAAAATTTGTCGATTTCGGAATAAAA